AGCACTGAGTCTTATCCACACCGATTCTGATCACGGAAAAAATAAGACAAGGAGAGAGGCCCCCACGATGGGAGTGTGAGGACGGCCAGAGTGGCTGTGGGCGGAGAGTGCGGTCACCCATCCAGGCTGCCCAGAGGCCAGCTGCATGGAGGGAAGAAACACAGCCACTGGGCTTACTTCAGAGGAGTGGGGGCGGGGAATCAGAAGGCAGGCGGGCTGGGTGATGGAAGGATAAAGACAGAGTAAATACAGGTGACAGTTGTCTGGATTTCTGAAGTCAAAGACAAGTTTCAAACACTTGATGTCTGAAGAGTTAATGCTGATTCTTTCACACATCAGCGATGGCCAGTGGCTTCTGGGCTTGGCAGACGGATAGACACACAGGGCCCTGGGACAACACAGCACGTGGGTCGAGGCTCTCTCCTGTGGAAGCTCAAAGACCGCACTGCCCCAGCAAGGCCCAGCCCTTTGACGAAGGAAGGGCCAAATTTAGCCCCCAAAGTTGCACAGTGAATCACAAGAAGAACAATGTCAAGTCACATCTCCTCTGTTCCAGTCCCAACAGGGCACGTTGTCACATATGGAGAAGGGGCCAAGAGGCCGTGCTCCTCCCACCAAAAAGGAGAAGGTGGTCATGAGGGGCAAAGACCGGGCACACGAGTGTGCGAGAGCAGCGCCTGGCACCCAGGAGAGATGTTTTAAAAAATCACAGTCGTCGTGAGAGAGAGTTCCCATCTAACCTGGAAAACTCAGTAAGGCTTCCTTAGATGTGGTATCTGAGTATTTCGTGTGATCGAAGGTGCTCATTGTGAGGCGGGTCATGATTTCACACGCCGCTAAGAAAGGAAACAACCGTGACGGAGCGTCCGACTGGAGCCCCCCACAAAGCTGGGAAGCCGGGGGGCTGCGCCTTCAACATCAGGGAGATCGAGAGCAAGTCCCACCTCACGGAAAGGGGAAGCAAGGAAATACGACGCGTTATCTTGGCACTGGGTGGAGGGAGGGGGGTAAGACTCTTCCCCGAGAATGTGAGCCCCTGGAGCTCCCAGGGGCTGGGTGTCGGAATCCACGCGGTCGCCGTGGGCCGAAGGAAAACACAACAAGATACCGCCCTGCCAGCAAAGATTTTCGATTTCGAGAAATCTCAGGTGGATAGTGTCCTGGGTGGTGGAGGGAAGCAAACCCAAATCCTCACGGGAAGAACTCGATCGTAATAAGTCACCCGGATTCCAGAAATGTGAAAATGTGAAACGTCACGATGAGCCTTAGAACCTACGAAATGCGATCCAGTAAATAAAATGCTCGCCATCTGGGTCTCCATCCCGAGAGGCCACAGCGTGCATGGGAGGGCGGTGTTTGTTCTCCGCTCCTGCCAAACGGCACGCTGGCTGTGGCCTGGTTCACCCAGGCCGAAGAGACACATTTGCAAATCTGTGCTTGGACGCAAAGTTTGTCTCAAGTAGACTACGCCACTGCCCTGGGCGGATGCGGGAAGATGGTCCCCTCACGGCCCACGTGCAACTTAAAAAGCAAAACAGGGGCGCCTGGGTGGCGCAGTCGGTTAAGCGTCCGACTTCAGCCAGGTCACGATCTCGCGGTCCGTGAGTTCGAGCCCCGCGTCGGGCTCTGGGCTGATGGCTCGGAGCCTGGAGCCTGTTTCCGATTCTGTGTATCCCTCTCTCTCTGCCCCTCCCCCGTTCATGCTCTGTCTCTCTCTGTCCCAAAAATAAATAAACGTTGAAAAAAAAAAAAAAACAATTACAGGGCGCCCTGGTGGCTCAGTTCGTTGGGCATCTGACTGCGGCTCGGGTCATGATCTCGCTGTTCCCAAGTTCGAGCCCCACATCAGGCTCTATGGCAACAGCTCAGAGCCCGGGGCCTGCTTCGGATTCTGTGTCTCCCTCTCTCTCTCTGCCCTTCCCCGCACTCACACTCTGTTTCTCTCTCTCAAAAATAAATAAACACTTACAAAAATTAAGAAAGAAAAAAAAAAGCAGTTACATTTCATGTGCTCAATGCTGCAGGCAAACGTATCCGGGGGCACTGAGCTGGCGAGGGCGTAGGCAGGCTGCAAATTTAATAAATCTTAATACCGTGTTTATACAAACAAACAGGCTGAAGCCATTGACGTAGTTGGAGCTTCCAGTGACTTTGTGCAGAGAGAAGAAAAAAAAAAAAGTGCAGAGAACCAACTGCTCATAAATAATTAGCTTTGGGGCAGTTTTTTTTTTTTTTTCCTTTTGGACTAAAAATAACATATGAAATGTTTTTTAAGGTGGCCAGATTACAGCCTCTGAAGACAGCACTGTCACCCTGTCAGCGTGTGTGTGTATATGCGTCTGTGTGCACACACACGGGCCGCAGAAACAACACAAGAAGCACACCCAAGGGAGGGGTCTCCTCCCCCCCCCCCCCCCCCGCCATGGGTGTCATTGTTCCCTTTGTTCTCGAGGGATATAAGCAGGGGCGGCGTCTGCAAAGTCTTCAAGGTCCTCATTTACCTGGCCATCGAGAACCTACTATGCGCAGAGTTACAAGGACTCTGTCCACCATCAGCTTGGCGGACCCTCGTTGTGTTCCTTGGAGAGCGTCACTAAGTGGCTCGTCGACAGTCACGCACACTAATGGTGGATCCGAGATTCAAATCCGGTGCGTCAAGCTGTGGTTCTTGAAGCGGGGTCCCAGGCCAGCAGCGTCAGCGTCAACTTGGGCACTTGCTAGGGATGCAGATTCTTGGGCCGTCTCCGCCCTAGTGGACCAAAAACTCAGGGTGGGACCCAGAAATCTGTGCCTAAGCTGTCGCATAGATGAGCCCGAGATGGCCTCGCAGGTTGCTTCTTTCCTCGTGGGCAGGCTTCACGAAAGCCAGGTGGCCAGCCGCAAACTCAGATTGTTACACATCCGATTATTTTATGTTACTATTATTTTTTTTTTAACTTTTTAAAGTTTACCTATTTTGAGAAAGAGATGCATGAACGGGGTAAGGGCAGAGAGAGAGGGCAGAGAGAGAGAGAATCCCAAGCAGAACTGCAAGATCATGACCTGAGCCAAAATCAAGAGTTGGACGCTTAACCGACGGAGCCACCCAGGCGCCCCTACGCATCCGATTATTTTACACAGGGCCCGGATAAGCGTGTTTTTTAGCCATTTAGAGCCTGCCCGTTTCGCATACCCCACAAAGCCGTGCCCAGTATCTGCCAGCCGCAGATAAGACACAACCTGTAGCTATGAGGACCCCAGTCCACCTTTGCCCTTTAGAGCCCCGGCCTCAGAGACGTGCCGTTCCTCCCAGCCAGGACGCGTTTGCAGTCTACCAGGGCAGGACTTTGCTCTTGTGATCACTGACGGATCCCGAGTGCCCACATCAGTCCTTGGCCCGGTCAGCACTCAGTAAATACTTGTGGAACGAATGACGGACAGCAAATGAGCTGTGGCTGAGCCCCGAACCACAGGGCTGTGGACATTCCACGCTAAGCCAATCGCAGGCTGCCAGGAAACAGCCTGCTTGGGAGGCCCGGCCTCCCCCAGCCAAGTGTCCCCCGGCTCAGAAACATTTAGTGAGCATTCACTGTGTGCAAGGGATCAGGGGACCCAGACATGACTCCTCCAGGTTCCCCCTGGGAGCTCCAGATGGGGGCTCCCCAGTGCAGGGCTTAAAAGTATGGAAGCCCCCGGAAGCCACCGGGCTTCCTGATGCTCTTGCACATTTCTCGAGGAGGCTCTCTGTCATTCTAAATGAGGGGGGGATCCAGGGCTACAGTCTCCCTGAAGGACTTCTACAAAGGACAGTTCACATGATCTTCAGAATTCATTCACGACGAAAGTCGGCACTGATAATTCCATTTTACAGATGGGGAAAGTCAAGCCCCAAGAGGCAAAGCCACTTGCCCAAAGCCACCAAGCTAGTTGACGCTGGGCCCCAAGCACAGCGTTGGTCTCGTGACCGCCCGACCCAGTCCACAGGACACCAGCTCTCCTACGGACGTGAGACACAAAAACCCGCCGGAGACCAAGAAGAAATCCCAGCGTGCAAAGCGCCTGGAAACCGATCCCATGGCATTAGGGACCTCGAGGAACCCAGGGCTCTTTGGAGCAGAGCCTGCTGAAGGCTCACTCTGTTCTGGGCCAGGGCTTGAAACGAGAGCTCCCTTGCAAAAGGAGACATCCATTCACATCGGGTTTTCCCTGAAGCAGGGACACCCCCGCCAGGCCCCAGGGATGCCTTCTCCAAGGCACGGTGTGGAAAGTCCAGATGACGGCCTTGGGGCCACAGCCCAGAGACCACCCGGAAGCCACGTGCCTGTGCTGCAGGACTCATTCCGACCTTGCATCGCTCAGTTTCCCCACGCTTCCGTGAAGGCGGTGATGCCTCTTGGGTGTTGATGGTACCGTTAAATGAGATGCCCTCACCATGATTCAGCAGGATTTTCTGGCACACGGTGGATGGACGACACAGAGCGTCTAAAGTAATAATGCTTAGTACTCACGACTAGTGCTGCTCCCACGGTTACCACTGCGGCCTGCAAACGCCACAGGAGTGGCTCTGAGCGCTTCTCAGCGGGCAGAAGTGCAAACACCTTCCTCGTAGAGCACGCGAGGCACAACCCCCCTTTCCCCCACTGGCCCCCGTGTGCCCAACCACCACTCAGGCGGCCACACGATCCAGTTGGCCTGGAGTGGTCCAGGTCTCCTGGGACAGTCCTGGTTGACCCCTGTTGTCACAACATAATTGTTAATAGCGTCCTTGTTCACTCCCCACCGCATCCTGGCGTGCGATGAAAAATTCCAGGGTCCCTCCTCTGTCATGCGTTTGTCACAGCTGAATACGTTCTGCACACACTCCTGAGGCCTCCCGAGGACCCCAGCTCATTCCCCATAAATGTTCCTCAGACCTCGCGGAACCTTCCAGAAAGCCCAGGAGTCTGGCTGCAGCGTCACAGGCCTACCCACCTCCAGACGCCCTGCCCTCTAGCGTGTGGAGCAGATGGCAAACACCGTACCTTTTGGAATCCAGTCGGCTCCCCTGGAGAACTCTGTGTCTGTTATTTTCGGGAAGGAGAGGAAAAGGGGGGTGGGGGGGGGGGAAGAAGTTAAGTGAGTGATACTCAAATCCCAGCAGAGCCTGTAATGGAATATTCATTTTGTCAGGGGAGTGTTTCTTTAAAACTTCTGGTCATCTGGACAGGCTGAACCAGCAGGTGATTCGATTTAATGAGCTTTTTAACGCACTTCAGGCCCAGGTGGGATTCCGTCTGGGAAGCCTGGGCCGGCGGCGGCCGCCTGGCTGGGACTGCGCTGACACCTAGTGGCCACGGCGGCCGTGGCGGGGACGGCAAAGCTAGAGCGCTGAAGCTTGGCGTCTGGGACCTGAGGGCCCCCTCAGAGGCCGTCTCGACTGCCCCCCTCCTCGGGCTAACCCTGGTGCCTCAGTTTCCCCATCGCTTCTCTTCTCGGGGAATGACAACGGTGCCCCCTCTGTAGGGTTGCTATGGGGACACGGCATTTAATAAAGGCTGTTATTACTAGTCAGCTTTATCATCGTGTTGTGTGAGGACGCACGGGGACGCGAAGGGGGAAGGTGATGGTCCACAATCGCAGAGCAAATGGGTGGAGGAGTAGGGCTGGATCCCAGGGCCCCGGGCCCCAGTCCAGCGTGCCCCTCCGCGGTGCCTCCCACGGCAGGGCGCGTTTGAATGCTGGCTTACTAGCGCCACGGCCGTGGGAGTTCCGGCTCTCAGTCTCCGCTCTCCCTTTGGAGACTGGTGTAAGGACCTGAATGGGGTCATAAAGACTTCAGCTGAGCCGCTCCTCGAACGTGAACCGTGATGGTCGCTGCTGTCATGAGCAGAGCGCCAGCCTCACGGGGCAGCGGGATGGCCAGGTGACATGTTGGAAGCGAAGCACCTACGGCCCGCGAGCCTCCATCACTCACGCCCGAGTTTAGCGTGTGGGGCAGAGAGGATGTCGCCCAGCTACGTCTCCCCAGACGACCTCGGGCTCAGCCATAGCCCCGCCCCCCGGGGCCTGGGAGCTGCACGCCCTGGCACCTACCAGCAGGTGGCCGGAGTCCTTGAGCTTGGACTTGTACAGCATCCACCGGTAACGCAGCTCCTCGAGCTCGTCCGAGGACCCCCTCGCGGGCCCGACATGAAGGAGGTTCTCGAAGAGACGCTGACCTTCTGGCACCCGAGCCTGCAGCTCCTGTGGGGACAGGCAGTGTCACGTGCACCCTCCAAATGGCCCAGACGGCCCCGCCTACCTGGTAAGGAGGAGCCAATCGAATTTGTCTCGAGAGGCAGCCGAAGGAACCTGTAAGGTGAGAAGCCCATCGTGCAAATTCAAGCCAAGGCCAGGCAGTCGCTCTCTGGAATGCTACAGAAGGAACTCCTGCCTGAGGGGGGCAGGTGCGCTGCTGACCTCCGTGGTCACTTCCGCCTCTGACATTCTGGAACCAAGTCCTTGGAGGGTTTGACAGAAGAGTCACCATCAGGACAAGAGCCACCGCGGTTGAACGTGCTTTTCTGTTGGCATTCTTAAGCCTGGCAGAGTGCTACTGGGAGCCGGCAGATTTTTCTATCACAGTATAGTACTGTGTCACCCCAGGGTGGCACTTGTTATCCTCAGGACTCCTGAGAGGTAGCGATGTAGGGGTAGGAGCAGGGCTGCAAATCTGAGCGTGTGGGTTTAAACTCTGGCCAAGGATCCTGCCTCCACCCCATCCTGCTGGTGGTGTGATATGGGCAGGTTGCGCAGCTTCTCAGAACCGACTAGAACGTGAACTCTTTAAGAGCAAGGAGGCCTAAACGGGGGCAGCCGCAAGTAATCTCTGATACGGCTGGAGTTGGACGGTGGTGGCGAGAAATGAGCATCACAGCCAAATGAGAGACAAGAGGGACGCGAGGACTTCCTCATCGTAGGCAATTGGACCAAACTTCTCACGGAGGGCAAAGTATTAGAAACACTTAAGAGTCATCAAAGAGTTAACAAGAGAGCAAGACGCATCAGGCTAAACCCTGGGAAAGGGTGAGACCCAAAGAAGTAAGGCCGGTGTTCAGACCGGCTTTTGTCTGCAGGACATTTGTCGATCTGGAAGAAACAGTTGTGAAACAGATCACCCTTTGGGAACCCTCATGGGGCTATGGAGACAAAGGTCAAGGTCTGGGCTCTGCAGGGATAGAGACTTTGATAATCTGCTTCCCCTTTGGCTGAGATTCCTAAAGGTGAATCAGAAGTAAACTCACACTTGGGGCACCCGGGTGGCTCAGTCGGTTGAGCGTCCGACGTCAGCTCAGGTCATGATCTCACGGTCCGTGAGTTCGAGCCCCGCGTCGGGCTCTGTGCTGGCAGCTCAGAGCCTGGAGCCTGCTTCAGATTCTGTGTCCCCCTCTCTCTCTGTCCCTCCCCCACTTGTGCTCTGTCTCTCTCTCTCTCTCTCTCTCTCTCCCTGCCTCTCAAAAATAAAGAAACATAATAAAAAAAAAAAGAAAAAAGAAAAGAAGTAAATTCACACCTTTAGTGGACTAAAGTCCGGCCCAGGTCACCAGTGGTCCAGGGAGCCTCAAACTTTGAACTTGGACTCACTGGTTTCAGAACAGTAAAGTCCTCCTTGCCTGGCAGTCACAAACAAAATTCTCTCTGGAGAAGAGGTGATCCTGAATCTCAAATTACCCCTACATCTATTTCATCACATGCAATGCCCAGCACACAATCAAAGCAGCCTCATATATACAAGACACTGATAACAAGAACAAGCAGAAACAACACGCAAAAGAAATGTTCCTAAAATGACTTGAGAATTGTTAGATGCACTATATAAAACAGCTAGCGTGCTTGAAGAATTAACAACCAGACTCAGCAGGGATCTGGAAGCTACAAAAAGTGACAGAGTAGCATTTCAAAAGAACCAGGTAGAAATTCTAGAACTGGCAAATACAATATCAAAAGCGAAAGGCTTAACAGACGTGTGTAATAGTGAATGAGACACAGTGAAAGAGAGAATTAGTAAACCGGAAGGTAGTGTAGAAAAACTCTCCAGAATGCAACAGGAAGAGAGAGGATGAACAAAACGCAAGAGAAGGTAGGAGACATAGAGCCCACAGAGAGAAGGAATACCATGTGTCTATGCAGCATCACAGCAGGAGAGGAGAAAGGGGATAAGGCAAAGGCAGTATGTTAGTATCAGAGAATGCTCTAGAATTTTCCGGAAAGACTCTAGACTACAGATTCCAGTATCCAGATGAATCCCAAGTAAGAAAACTAAAAAGACATCCAAACCCTAAATAATAAACTGCAGAGAAATAAGGAAAAAGAGAGGTAAGCTGGGGCCCGGATGAGAAAGGCTTTGTGTGATACGTTTGGGAGGCTGGCCTCTATACCGAAAGGTTTACATCAGGGGAAGGATAAAGTCACATTCATGAGGCTAAAGGTCACTCTAGCCGCGGAATGAGCCAGGACCTGGATGGGGCCCATCAGGAAGAAAGAAGGCCAGCTGGGAGGCTATTGCCATCATCAAGTCAAAAGTATCTAGATTAACATAGTGGTAGTAAGGGGGGACAGAAACAAAAAATTCTCAGGAGGTGGAATCCAGGAGGGCTTGGTGACTATTTAGATATGGGTGTGAAGGAGAAAGATCTGTGGTAGAAGGACTGCACAAATGGCCCTGATGCCCCCATCCTGCCTCCCCGCCGTATTCATGACCTTTGCAGTATGACTTGGAGTCCTGTTTTCCCTCCCCGTGAACATGGGTTGGCCCTGTGACCCTTTTTGTCCAACGGAATCCAGGGCAAGTAATACGCCAGTTCCTACTCGAGGCCTCAGAAGCCTCGAGTGCTCCCACTTGCCCTCTGAGACGACGCCTCTACCACAAGAAGCCTGGGCTGTCCCACAAGAGGATGAGGGCTGTGCGGTCCGTCTCATGTTCATCTCCCACAGCCTGCCAGCCCCCCAGAGTAGAGCCACCCAGCTGACCTATAACTGACAGCAAATAAGGGAGCCCAGCCAAGACCAGAAGCTCTGCCCAGATGAGCTCGGCCTAAATTGCCAACCTTCAGAACCATGAGTCAAATAACCGGTTGCTGTTTGAAAGCTCAAGCCGATGGAAGGGTTTGTTACACAGCCACGGCTCGCCGATGGATAGGAGTCGTGATGAGGCGTGATATTGTCCAAGCTGGGGAACACAGAAGGAGGCTGGAGGAGTGAATGGTTCTCCGAAAGTCCTTCGGAAATACGTGAACCAAAAAAGTTCAGAGACTATTACTTATACACGGATGAAAATGGCTCACAAGCCGCGTGTGTGCTTCTTTTTGAAGAACCCCCTGGTGGCGAACACATCCGTGGGTGCAAAAGGAGGGCCGTTTTGTGGCAACAAACCTGTAGCTTCGTTTCCCTGGCCCTCAGATCCGTGGCTGCGGCCATTCTCATCGCGATGATGCTAACCAGCTTGGCGTTTTCCACCTCCAACCACTGCTCAAAGTCCCTCAGGAGCTGGGAGTAACCTTCCCGGCTGCCTTCTTCCCGGAGCAGATTTGCCTGCAGGAATACACAGCACGACCGACCCATCAGAGGGGAAATCAGCCTACTGGCCACGCATCCTGTGGCTTCCCTCTGAGGCAGAAGGTAGGGCTGAGGATGCCCAAAGGTGACGAGAGGGGCCTGGAGCCTGGAGAGGGAGGAAGGTCTCTCTCGCCAACGAGGCCACGTTAGAAATTTAATTCTAATTCAGGTCCAGGGTCCTGCGCTGCCTCAGCCAGTGCTCAGCGCTCTCCTGGACCACCGCCCCGAGCCGCGACAACGGATCACCGTGGTCACCTGCTGGTCTCCTAGCGGCAGCCACCACCGTTCCTCACCAGGAAGGCCATCGCAGTGGTTCCGCTTCCTCCACACCTGTCCCCCTCCGGGCTCTGTGGCCAGAGCGGCCTGTCTAAAATGCGAGTCCATTCAGCGAGGCCCTTGCCAGTGCGTACTGCGCTTTCTGTGAACCCTGACTTAATTGCCTGCGGTTCCCATTTCCTCGCTCCTCAAAATGTGCCCCGAAGCCCAGCGGCATGGGCGTCATCCGGGAGCTTCCAGAAATGCAGAATCCTGGGCCCCGCCCCAGACCTGTTGATCGGAAGGTGCGTTCTCCCACGATCGGGGTGCACGTTACCGCGTGCAAAGCTCTGCGCTGGGTCGGAAGCGATTCTGTTTCACTCCCGGCTGCACCCCGGCCCCAAGTGCGGGCCTCAGGGCACAGTAACGCTTGGGAAGGGGCGACACAAGGATACATGAGAGAATCGGAGTGGAGGTGTCGTTTTTGAAGGACAGGGAAGGATGGGTCTTTTCAACGCGGTTCCTTTTTTTAAAAGCCGTCAGGAGAAGGGGTGAGCGATACGAGATGGTCGGGTTAGTTCTTTTGAACAAAATGCGGCTTATGGCACACAAAAAAGGTACCCCTCTCGCGCGATTTCAGTTTGCAGTGGGGGGCCAGCAGGAAGCCGTCAGCCCCGCGGGGGGCGAGGTTTCCGAGGGGTGGGGACCTGTCTGCCCAAGCGACACTTCTGACCTTCCCCCTGGCCCGGGTCTGGGGTCTCTGAGTCCCTCTGTCCAGCGGCACACCCAGGAGAGGACACGGCCAAGTCCCGAGTTGAGCACGCGGCCGCAGGCAGGGAGGGGGCTTGGGGGAAGGCCACCCACCGTCCCTCCCTCCGGGTCTGCCGTCTCCCTGGAAGGCCCCCCCTTGGGCAGACTCACCCGGCGGTGACGCCCGGAAAGAGGCTCCGCGGGATCGATGAGAAACCCAGTCTTCGGGATGTCGTTGGTGAAAATCGTTTTCTTCCCCGAGTCCACTTCCGTCCTCTGCAGCTGCTGGTTTCTGATGAGGCTGAGAAGACACCCAGCCCAGTCAGCGTGGCGCTGTGATGGGGACTCCCCGGGTCACAGAAGCAACAGACTGGGGGCACCACGGGGTAGGAGCCGACTTCTGGGCCTCGCAAGTCAGTGACCATCCTTCGGGTTCGTCAGAACGTTCCCAAGGCTCCAGTTCCCTACTTGAGACCCGTGTCACCCTGCCGTTAAAGTGTACATGCCTATCGGCGCGGGGGAGGCCCAAGCCAGGAGGGGCTGCAGGCTGACCCCCACCCCCCCCCCAAGCCGGGACACCTCCCTGCTCCCACTGCTCCCGCTAGAATCGCCCCTGGGCCAGACTGGAGGTACACGGGGGCACCTGACGCCATGCTTCTACGGGCCCGCCGAGCTCTCCCCGTGGCGAAACGGGGGTGTCGCCTGAGACCGGCTCAGAGCGGGGGATCCTCACCGCAGCAGGCTTTCCTCCAGCGGCTTCAGAGCCTGCCACGACTCCACCAATTCCTCCAGCTCCTCCTGGACCAGAGCAGCCCCTTCCGGAGAAGACTTCTTCATCACCAGCCGGCCGTAGGCTTCGACCAGGGGCAGCTGGGCCTCCTTCTCCAGGAATTCAGCCAACAGCCTCTGAAGGACACACACACACACACACACACACACACACACACACTCAGTGAGCTCTTGGGACGGGGGTCTCTGTTCCCCAGTGTGGGCTCCCGTGGGGAAAGCCATCCCACCTCGACTTCGACCTCCCGGGACTGGGCGTCCCACGGGCCCGCCTCCTCCTGGTGTGACTCCAGCTTCTGGGTGACCACGGCGATCCACTGTCTCAGCTCCAGCAGCTGGTGGCTGAAGGTGCAATGTTCGCGCACGCTCTGCTGACACCTGTCCATGAGGTCCTGCAGCACAGCCCAGGGGGCCCAAGGCGCTCTGAGTGCAGGCAAGGTGGGACCCCGGGCCACCCCATCCTGCAGGGCCCCCAGACCTTCCCTGGGGCAAGACGGCCCCCGGGGCTTCCCGCCCAGCGGGAACGTGAGACGCTGGTCCTCCCTTGTACACAGGACAGGGATTTACTCTGGCAAGACCAACTCTGGTTTAAAGTGTCTCTAAGCCTCCTATTTAAAAAAAAAATTTTTAATGTTTATTTATTTTTGAGGCAGAGAGAGACAGAGCATGAACGGGGGCGGGGCAGAGAGAGAGAGGGAGACACAGAATCCGAAGCAGGCTCCGGGCTCTGAGCTTTCAGCACAGAGCCCGACGCGGGGCTCGAACTCATGAACCACAAGATCGTGACCTGAGCTGAAGCTGGACGCTTCACCGACTGAGCCACCCAGGTGCCCCTAAAGTGCCGCTAAGCCTTCTTAACTTTTATGTGGATGTTACCATGTCTGGACGAGGGTGTGGACGATCAGACCTCCTGTCCACCACTGGCGTGGGTGTAGCTCATATGCCACTTGGGGAAACCAGAGGTCAGTATCTACTAAGACTGCACACAGGCATCCCTACGACCCAACCCTGTCGCCCCTGGCAGACACCCAACAGATACAAACGTATCGTCACCAAAAGGACCGCACGCGGTGTCGCTTGTAACAGGAAGAGACAGGAAAGCACCCGAGTGCCCGTTAGCAGAAGTATGGATGAATATGTTGAGGTATGTTCACACGCTGGGATATTTTACAGCAGGAACGAGTGGTCTATGCAACAGTCATAATAATACAGCATTGCGGGTGAATTTACAGCCGGCGTGTGGACAGCTAGGAGCCAGACACACACAGAAAACCATTCTGTGCGATTCAATTAAAATAACGTGTGGGGCGCCTGGGCGGCGCAGTCGGTTAAGCGTCCGACCTCAGCCAGGTCACGATCTCGCGCTCTGTGAGTTCGAGCCCCGGGTCAGGCTCTGGGCTGACGGCTCGGAGCCTGGAGCCTGTTTCCGATTCTGTGTCTCCCTCTCTCTCTGCCCCTCCCCCGTTCATGCTCTGTCTCTCTCTGTCCCAAAAATAAATAAAAAACGTTGAAAAAAAATAATAATAACGTGTAAAGTCAGGCAAACCCAACCCAGGGTGTTCCAAGTCAAACATCAGGGTTGCCTTCAGGCACCAGGAGTGGCCGTGGGGGGGCCCCGAGGGGCTTGGGGGTTGGGGGAGCCAGTATCCTTCTGTGTCATAATCTGGGTGCTGATAACGTGGATGTGTCCAGTTTTTAAAAATGCATTGAACCGCACAGGGAGATGTTCTCTTTTCTACATACGATGGTGCTTCGATAGAGAGTTTTTGAAAATGGTCCTGCTTTTTTCCCCTCTCCTCTGGGTCAGCCCTTCCCAGCTCTCAGGCTGGGGCCTTGTTCTTCTCCGTCCTCAGGAAAGGGAGGGGCCTGTGCTCCTGGTCACCCAACCTGGGGCCCTCTGAGCCCCTCTCTCCCCACCCACTGCAGGCCAGTGAGACCCCAGGGTCTGGCTGTGACCCCTGGCTTGGGCCACCACAGGCCCTGCCCTCCTTCATTCCAGACACCGGCTAACGCCCGCCCCTGGGCACCAGGCCCCCTAGAACTGGGGAGACAGAGAGGGTGTGTCCCAACTCTCTGCCACAAACCAGTGACGAGAGCCTGAACGGTTACCTAAAAGTCCACTTCTCCGCACTGTCGCTACCATAGCCCCTGTCCCCATCCACCAATGTCAAACCCAATGCTTTCAATGGCCTCTGATTGCTTAGTGGGGTCTGTCTCCCCCGGGGGGAGACGGGAAAATGGCCTGGGCTGCCGGGAAAGGACTTATTAGAACTTACTAGGTTTAAAAAGCCCTGAGTGGGGCACCTGAGTGGCTCAGGGAATCTTGTGGGCGGTGGGGCAGTTCTGCGTTGTGGGAGCCGGATGAGGGCACCCGTCCCTCTCCCCGGTATCTGCAGGGGTCACCCCTGCTCTATCATGGTCACAGCAACCAAAACCCCCTATGAGCTTCCAGGAAACGTGGCTCCACCGAGGGAGGCCCGGTGGTCTAAGGGATGCGTGAGGTCTAGATGAACTGATTGAACTCCACCTAATAAATTAGCAGCTAGTGGTCTCAAGGTGGAGGTGGGGGAGTAGAGAACTAGGAAATCACCATCCCTGCCCTTTGGGGGCCCACAGAGCCCAGAGAAACAGCAAACACCAGCTTTAATGCCTCTATCCAATGATGAGCCAGATTGATCGTGATAATAGTTAATAAGTTAATAAGCATTAACTGAGTATGACTGGCGGTTGCAGAACGCTAACATTCCAGTTCAATCGCGCTCTTTAATTATTGCCTAAACACTTCTTCAAGGAAGCATTGTCCCCCTTTTATTACTGTGTCGCTCAAGGCTTTTAATTTCTTTTTTATTTTTTAAAGTGTATTCATTTTGAGAGAGGGGGAGAGAAAGAGAGAGAGCGCGAGCAGGGGAGGGGCAGAGAGAGGGAGACAGAGAATGCCGAGCAGACTCCGTGCTATCAATGTGTAGCCCAGTTCGGGGCTCGAACTCACGAACCGTGAGATCATGACCTGAGCGGAAACCAAGGGTCGGACGCTCAACCAACGGAACCACCCAGGTGCCCCCAGCCTAGGTTTTCTTGAGGTGTGGCTGTCCGAGAGGCGGCTCCACAATCCCCAGGCACTTGTTACAAATGCAGAGCCCGGGACCCCATCTGAATCACTTAAATTTGTCCTCAGGCCAGTTTTGAAGAAGCCTGCACCAGCCCCCCCCCCCTCCCCATTCCATTCCCAGGTCTCAAAGGGCCCGGGTGGCCACTAGAGGGCGCCGCAGAGGAGGCTCCCAGCCGCCGGGGTGCAACTTTCAACCCGCTCTTAACATGGCTTACATACCCCCACGCCCACTACACCCAGGGCTGTTAGCCTGTTCTGTTCCTTGGCCTCCGGGCACACCTGGAATTGTATATGAGCTTGTTGTTTTGCGGACTCACTGTCCATCTCCCCACTGAAATATAACCCTGGGGAGCGGGGCTTTGGCTGTCGGCCTGGTGCCAGCCTTCAACCTCAGGGCCCAGAACCCCCCCACCCCCCACCCCTGCCATAGGGGACATGCTCTCTACTCGTCTGCTGAGGGAAGAAAGGAAGGGAAAAAGAAAACAGAAAGGTTTGAAGGAATGCAGGAAGAAAAGGCAGAGAGCGTAGGATCCCAGGCGCCTGGTTTTACCTCCAGAGACCTCTGCAGGGCCTGGTAGTCGGCAGAAAGCTGCTCCATTTTGTGCTGGTGGGTGGGGTTCCCCTGGACGAGAGGCCTCACGGCCTCCATCTGTGCCCCAAGGTCCAGCCCCTCTTCCTGCAGCCCCTGCAGCAAAAAGGAGCAAGTGTGGCCGTCCTGTTTATCTCCTGTCATGGGAGCTGATGGGGGGAGGGGGGCTCTGAGTCGGGGAGCTTGGGAAGGTCCCGCAAGATGGGGCTCCCCCACCCCAGTGGCGGCACCATATGGCCATCTGATGGGCCTACTCTCAGAGCTGGTGAGACTTTTTAAAAGGAGACAGAAATATTCTGGCACACCCTGAAAACAAACGGTTATGGCCTAGAGGGCACCTCTGGGGAGGGGGGGGAGGGTCAAACTCCCACCTGGATTCTTACCTGATGACCCCCTCTCCTCGTGAAGAATCATGCCCCAACTTCAGTTTTAAAGCCCCCGGACACACCATTTTTAACGTCTTCCCAAGAACCCTCTCAATGTACGTATGAAGTCAAAAGTGCTTGACTTTTAACAGGGTGATCGTATCACACGCATTTAAAATCCTGCAACCTCCTTATCCAGCCAATCGTTATTGACCAATCTGCCTACGGACAGTCTGCCTGCGTTTTAACACATTTATTCTCGCTTCCAAAATCAGATCATTTAACTGAAGGCCTCTGTACTCATCAGGAGCACTTTGAGAGCAGAGCAATTTTAAAACCGAATACCAACATGACATTTTGCAGCGACAGAGTAAACAGGAGTGTAGCTGATCTTTTCCTGAGGCTCAAGAATTCGCAGTCTGCAGGTACCAAAGGTCCCGCAGAGGCCAGAAGCCACCAGATCAATCTAGCAGAGATCCGGACAAAAGGTCAGACCTCAGGCGAGGGGCTGGGCGGCCGCCACTTTCCCAGTTATGGCCGCAAGAGGAGAGCTGCCTACAGACACAGCTGAGCACCTGAACGGGGCCACCCGGGCCCCACAAAGCCCTTACCTGCAACCTGGAGAGCTGGGTCTGTTTCCTAGGAAGGTCCTGCTGAAGCCCGTTCTCAGCTCGGACCCTGCCTTGGAGGTCTGACAGCTTCTTCTGTAGGGGCTCGAAAGCAGCCCCAAAATCTTGGTGCTGAGCCAGCAGGCTCTGCAGAGACACACAACGGACAGCACACAGATTACAGGCACCCTGTGCGACCGGCCACTCACGACCGAACTCCGGCCGGCTCATATCCACTCCGGCATCACCCCCTCCAGGAAGCCTTCCCGGAGCCCTTGCTGGGGTTGGACGCCCCTCCTTGGAATCACCGTGGCGTCCTCACCGTGACAGTTGCTCTGCTCCCTAGCACAGAACTGCATCTCATAATACGTACACACCAGATCCCGCCGGAGGCCTGTCTTTGCCAATAAAGTTTTATTGGGATACGGCCACGCCCATTCACTTCTAGCCGCTCTCATGCCTCGGTAGACCCGAGGAGCCGCAGCCGAGACTGTCTGCCACACAAACCCTAGGGGATTCGCTAAACGTTCGCTACTTGGGGGAGATGAGATCCCGGATGTGAATGGAGCTCTCGGCGAGGGCCCGGTCCCTCCCAGTGCCCGAGAGTTATGTCATCGTCATCATCAGATGCTCGGCAAACGTGTTACGTAAAAGAACACACCGTCCTCGACATGCCACGTTACCCCTTCGATTTAGTGCAGTCATTCAGAAATGTGCTCCTAATAACATTAGCTTCCAGCTCTAGGTGGTCGAAAGTTCACAGGCAATTTTCTCTGCATTTTCTCATTAGACAGTCCCCCCCCGCCCCCCAACCCTGGCTTACTCAGGAAGACAGTTCCAGTGTCGAGGGAGCAGTGTCGAGGGAGATTCAGGGGCAGGGGTGGGCACAGCAGGCGCCCAGGACGCCAGTTAGAAGGATCGCACGTTAACCGCACCGGCTGAGAGGAGCTGAGACCCCGGGGGACAAAGGGCGAGGGAAGGCCACCCGGTGACAAGTGGTGGGGCCGAGGGAGGAGTCTGGGCCTCCTGCCTCCTTCCCCAGAAGGCTGCCCCCAGGACGGCGGCCGCGACACCCACCTGCAGCTTGCTTTTCCTCTGCAGGAGGCCGTTGTGCAGCAAGTCTCTGTCCCGCACGGAGCTCGCCACCTGCTCCAGGAGGGCCGTGGCTTTGTCCTGGCCGAAGATGCTCCTCAGCAGGTCTTTCTTCAGCTGTAGCATCATCAGCTGCTCCTTCAAGCGCGAGCTTTCTGCCAGGGCCGCCTACAGGGGACAAGGCCTCCGTGACCCCCAGGGCATGGCAGGGCAGGGCGGGACCGGGCTGGGAAGCGGTACCAAGAGCACATCGGTCCTGCCTCAACTTCCCCGGGACGCCGCGCCTTCGTGCCTGGAACTGAGAAAGCGGCGGACGCCAGGAGGAACGGGCTGGCGGGGACGCGTCAGGGAGGCCCTGACTTTCAGGGTCAACTTGATTCCTCTCTCACCCCCCACTTCTATCCTATCACCAAAGCCCAGGCAAGACTGTACCTCCTGTCCAGCCATCCCCCCTGCCGGTGTCCACGGCGGACCCAGCCTCGCTCACCTGGATCACAGCAGCCCCTGACTGCCTGCCCCCCACCCCGCAGTCGTCCCCCCAGAATCCACCGCCCACACTGCGGCCGCAACTGCCCCCCCCAGCCATCCCCCCAGAATCCACCACCCACACTGCGGCCGCCCCTGCCCCCCCCAGCCGTCCCCCCAGAATCCACCGCCCACACTGCGGCCGCCCCTGCCCCCCCCAGCCGTCCCCCCAGAATCCACGCCCACACTGCGGCTGCACCTGAACCAAACCAGTTGGATCCTTTACTCGATAATCCCCCATCACCGACAGCAGTAGGGCTACCCCTTGGGTGCTGTTTGGGACATAGGGGTCTATGGGAGCACGTGGGAATTCAGGAAAGCTCCCTAGAGGAGGTGACATCTGAGTGGAATTGTGATGTGCAGGTGATGGAGGTGCCAGGTGAAGGAGGGACCTAAGGGAGACTCACATGATGAGCAGCTGGCTCCCTGGGCCTTTGCATGGCCCCGGCCCGCCTCCTCCAGGAAGCCGGCCCCGACCACACCCCCAGGCTACACTCACTCTTCCTGCCCCAAAGCCCTGTGCCAATCTCCGGCTTCTGCTGACTAAGGAGCTGTTTGGGGTCAGCACGCCTTGCTGATCTGAGGGCCCAGGGTCCCGGAGGCCAAGGGAATTGTGTTCGGCTGGCCAGACTCCTTCCGCTTTATCCCTGGTGATGTTACTGAGACACTGAGCTGGGCACAGGGCTGGGAAGGGACAAAGACCCCAACCCAGGTAGGTACCTGCGATCCAAGGCCGAAAGTGATCAGCTCCCTTCAAGTGTCCACGACAGAGCCCTCTGGGTGTTGGAGGCGGAGCTGAATGCCCCTAGTTGGGGAAATCCGAGAAGCCTCCCCAGAGCTGGCCGTGTTGCCAGAGCCCGGGAAGAGCAGAGGGGGCCCCTGGAGGAAGGGCAGCCTAGACACGGCCGGCACAGCCGAACTGGCCTCCCCCACGATGGGGGCAGGTGGTGTGAGAGGACAAGCCCCTTGCTAGGGAGGGTGCCCTTCACTCCCTTTCCAGAAAGTCTGGACACAATAGTGTAGCAGTTAAGAGTTCAGGCTGAGGAGTTGCGATCCGGAGGCCTTGGGTAGTTCTGAGCCTCAGTTTCCTCATCTGCAGAACAGGCAGAGCCACGCCCAACTCCCAGGGTCGGCGTGAGGGCTGAAAGGGGGCGGTGCCCATGCAGCGTGTAGCCTGGCGCACAGCCCGCAGGGAACACACAGTAACAGACGGCTTGTCTCTCTGGTACCGTCTAACCAGCCGCTGCGGGCTGAGTTGCGTCCCCCAAAAGATGTGAAGTCACAGCATCCCCGCCCTGACTGCCCCAGAATGTGACTGTATGTGGAGACAGGGTCCTTACGGAGACGGTCAAGTTGGAATGAGGTCATGAGGGTGGGCCCCAATCCAGTTAGGGCCGGTGCGCTTCTTCAAAAGGGAAATCTGCACCCCGACCCACAGGCACCAAGGCAAGACGACGTGAGGACACGTGGGGAGAAGCTGTCCAGGTGACGGCAAAGGCCGAGATCGCCGGGCCAGGTCTACAGGCCAGCGAACAACAACACCTGTCAGTCGACACCAGGAGCTAGAAGAGGCAGGGAAGGATGGTCCCCAGAGCCTTCAGAGACGGCGCGGCCCTCCTCACTCGGCGCTTGTCGTCTCCAGAAGTGTGTGAGAGTGAGTCGCCATCGCGCTAAGCCATCTGGTTTTGGAACTTTGTCACAGTCGTCCTTGGAAATGAGCATCTCAGCCATGCCCAGCTTTGGGGCCTGATGCCTTAGTCCTAGAGGAACTTTGCAGGTCTGATAGGCTACGCTGAGGCTAGCTAGGCGCAGGAGCCGAGCCAAGAAAAACAGGGCTGGCGGCTCGAGCCTGGCCTGTGAAGTCCATCCGGCCTGGGAAGGGCTCGTGAGCGCAACGCAAGACGTGATCCCAGCCAGCACAGAGCACGGACAAGCCATAGTCCTACCCACCTGTTCCAACCCACTGATCCGCGAAACTCCTGCCCCGGGGAGTCCTGAGTCACACTCTAGCAAGACGGAACCTCTCCCGCCCGCCTGGCACAGGTCCTGGTTAGCTTTCTGCCCCCTGTGGGAAGGACAGGATGGAAATGCAATCTGATCTAGCGGGAAAAGCACTCGCCGTGGAGTCAACCAGACCTGGGTCCAAGCCAGCTCTGCCACTTGGTCGCTGTGTGACCTTGAACCAGTGCCTTTCCCTCTCTGGGACATGGTTTCCTCAACAGTCAAATGATAATAAAACTGCCACATTGTACATGCCAACCCCGTTCCCAGGACCCAGGGTGACGGCAGGAATAAGAAACATAAAATGAGATTCTAGAGCCTGCCATTCTGGCCTCAGCCCCACCTCTGGAGTGGCCCGACCTTGAACAAACACCCTAGGGGCGCCTGGGTGGCGCAGTCGGTTAAGCATCCGACTTCAGCCAGGACACGATCTCGCGGTCCGGGAGTTCGAGCCCCGCGTCAGGCTCTGGGCTGATGGCTCGGAGCCTGGAGCCTGTTTCCGATTCTGTGTCTCCCTCTCTCTCTGCCCCTCCCCCGTTCATGCTCTGTCTCTCTCTGTCCCAAAGATAAATAAACGTTGAAAAAAAAAATTAAAAATAAATAAATAAATGAACAAACACCCTAACTTCTCTCTGGCTCTGATCCCACGTCGGCAAAATGAGGAGGAAAATAATAGAAATGCAGACCAAAATCTGTGTACATAGATATCCACCATGTACAAGTTATGACCAGGAATACTGGAAACAACCTAAATATCACACGGACGGAACAAAAAATACTGCGAAATACCGTACAGCCATTTAAAGCGATGACTTTTCGGCAACATTTTATCTTTCTTCTTAAGACTTTTTTAGCTGAAGCATAACAGACACGTAACGTTATATCAGTTTGAGATGCGCGACGCGATTCGATATTTGTATGCACTGCGAAATGATCACCATGATACCTCTAGGGCCGACCGTCACCACACAAAATTATAATTTCTTCTTTCCTTCTGACAATGAGAACTTTTAAGATTCACTCCTCTGGCGACTTTTATGGGGGGCTACCATATCGACTGTAGTCGCCATGCTGTACATCACGACCCCGTGACTTATTTATCCTATAACTGCAAGTTTGTATCTTTTGAGCCCCTTTAACCTCCGACACCCCTCCCCCCCCGAGAACCCCCGGGGATTCTCTACCCCCGACACCCCTCCCCACTGGCGGCCTCCATTCTGTTCTCTATATCTACGGGTTTGGTTTTCGGTTTTTAGATTCCACATAGAGGTGGGATCATGTGGTATTTGTCTTTCTCTGCTCAACTAATTTCACTTACCATGATACCCTCAAGGTCCAACCATGTTATTGTAAATGGCAAGATTTCGTTCTCTTTTATGGCTGAGTGGCATTTCTTTATGTACATCTATATAGATACAGATATAAATGTAGATATGGATACAGGTACAGATATATAGATATAGATATAGATATAGATATAGATACAGATACAGATATAGACATAGACATAATCACACATTCTTTCATCCGTTCACCCCTCAGTGGACGCTTAGGTTGTTTCCATACCTTGGCTTTGTAACTAACGATGCAACGAACATGGGGCTCTCTTTACATATAGCTTTTCAAATTGGTGTTTTTGTTTTCTTTGGACAAACACCCAGAAGTAGAATCGCTGAATCACATGGCAGTTCTCTTTTTAATTTTTCGAGGAGCCTCCATACTGTTTTCCCACAGTGGCTGCCCCAGTTTACATCCCCACCAACAGTACACCAGGGTTCCCTTTTCTCCACATCCTCACCAATGCTCGTTGTTTCTTGCCATTTGCTTTTCGCCGTTCTAACAGGTGTGGGGGGGGATAGCTCATCGTGGTTTTGGTTTGCACCTCCCTGCTGATGAGTGACGTTAACATCTTTTCATGTGCCTGTTGGCCACCTGTATGTTTTCTTTGGAAAACTGTCCCGAGTTTCTGCTGAAAAACCTGCCTGTAGTCTTAGGAGCGTCCCCCTGTATGGAACACATTGTTTTTCTCACACTACTTTTAAGAGTCTATCTTTATTTTTAACTTTTGACATTTCAATTATAACGCATCTTGGCATGGGTCACTTTTTGTTCGTCTTGGTTGAACACGCATCTCTGTGCTTTCTGGACCTGGATGTCTGTCTCTTGCCCCAGTTTAGGAAAGCTTTCAGCCTTTATTTCTTCAGATAAGTTTTCTGCCCCCTTTCCCCCTCTTCTCCTTCTGGGACATCTACAATGCAAATGTTATTCGGTTTGATGTGGCCTCATAGGTCCCTTAAGCTATTTGTATTTTTTCAAATTCTTTTTTCTTCTTGCTGCTCTGAGTAGGTTCCACTGCCCTGTCTTCCAGATCACCGACCCCTTCTTTGGATTCGAGTCTGCTGCTGAACCCGCCAGTGTATTTTTCAGTGCAGTCACTGCATTCTTCAGTTCTGTGACTTCTGTTTGGTACTTTCTTATTGTTTACGTGGGGTTTTTTGGGAAGTTCTTACTGTGTTCATCCCTTCTTCTCCCAAGATCTCAGTGAGCATCGTTAGGACCATTACTTTCAACTCTTTATTGGGTAAATTACTTATTTCCATTTCATTAGGGTTGTTTTTTTTTTTCCCCTTGAGGTTTTATTTTGAAGTCCCGGGGGTCAGGTGCCTGATGTGGGGCACAAACCCCTCACTCCTCGAGGAGAAGCTCCAAATTTGTGAGCAACTTCCTCACGGCGGGTCGCTGCGTCGGGGGTGAGATTTTTTGGCCAGACAGCATCTCTGCCTCTCCGACGCATCTCAGTGAAGCCCTTTTACCGTTGGATGGAAGCAGCTGTTCTGCTACAGTTCAGGTCTTTTTCAGAGGGCATTATTCCATACGTAGCGACAGATTCAGTGTATCCATGGGAGGACATAAAGTTCAGGATCTTTCTACGCTGCCATCTTGGACTGTCCTCCTGAACCATTTTATTTTTTTTATTTTTATTAAGTTTATTTATTTATTTTGAGAGAGAGAGAGAGAGAGAGAGCGAGCACAAGCAGGGGAGGGGCAGAGAGAAGGAGAGGAAGAATCCCAAGCAGGCTCCATGTTGTCAGCACAGAACCCGATGCGGGGCTCGAGCTCACAAACTGTGAGATCAGGACCTGAGCAGAGATCAAGAGTCCGACGCTTAACCAATTGCGTCACCCAGGCAACCCCCCTGCCCCGGGGACCATTTTAAATGAAGCTTGTAAGAGCCAACTGAAAATATCAGAATACACAGCTATATAACATGATTCCAAATACGCAAAAAATGGCAAAGAATTACTGAAATATTTTGTCTATTGGTGACAATATTGCATGGAAACGGCTAGATGGGTTTTCATCAGGTAGGTATGAAGGGTATATTTGGGATTGTCGGACCTAAAGTAGATTTCTGCGACACATGTAAGTTCACTTTGGGGAGCCCTGAGAAGTTCCTCAAAAAGATGGACAGTCATCTTTCAGAGCATGGGAGAAGGAGGCCCATAGGAACCCCAGAAGGAAAGGCTAAGCCCTGCAAATGAAGAAATATGGACAGAGAAAACAAACCCTTGTTCCAGCGTGAGCCCCACGTGGAAAATCCCAAGAGCAGACACTCCAAACTTCAGGCACCCTTGTGTGGCTGAGCAGCGTGTTCAAGGGTGAGGAGAGGCCAGTCCTGGTTAAAGGGCCTCCCCGGAAATACCAGGTCAGATAGAAAGGGTGATGTCGTGTACCTCAGCATGTTAACAAGGCTCCTACGGCTTGGGGGACCGTGGGCACTTTTTGTTGCCTTCTTCACAAACCTTTACGTTCTCCAAGGAGGCATGGCTTTTATAACCAGAATGAAAGTTAATGTAAAATAAGGCTTACATGTGATACGCTTTTGTGTCTCCTCCCACTCTGTGTGTCTTAGAATCCCTAGACCCCAAAGCTGATGGACTTCAGAGCTCCAGGAAACCCTAAGGCAGCATCCACCGGCCAGTCAGAGCTGCCATATTGACTGGCGTTTGCCACAGACACCGCCCTCCGCTCACCCAACACTCATTCCTCCTTCTTGATCACCGAACGGCCAGCACTTCTGTTTGGGTGACAAAGCGCCCAGTTCCAGGTGCTGAAATAAATTTCTAGGCTCGGGATGGGGCTGCTCCTCCCCTAGATGCCAAGGCAACAAAGCGAAACTTAGATTAAGTTTCCAGTCCCTGTAAATGCTCCACTTGGCCAGAAACGCAGGATATCCAGTCCACGATGCCCAAACACCAAGCCAACCCTGGGCCTTCTCACCCCAAACAAGGCTGACCATCAGCCAATCAGATATTTTCTATTTGTCTTTTCCTTCTTTATTCTTTATCCTATTAAACCTTCCCGCCTTCTGCCCCATTTTGCAGTGCTCCAAAAGGAGGCTGTCCACCTCATGAAGTGTTAAATAAAGTTTGTTTGTATCATCTAAATTGTCTTCTTTGATCACTTTAACACAGGGTTATGTCTACGATTGGTATAAACCAATCCCGGCAACCCCATCACCTTCAGCCAGTGATTGGGTCAGGGGTGGTCATGTGACCTGGCCTGGCCAATGAGATGTAAGGAGAGTCTGCTGGGGCTTCTGGGAGAGGGTTTGCCTCCCTGTTGGAAATGGTGAACGGAGAAAGCCTTTTTGCGCCCTTTGCCGTTCGACAAGATGCTGTCCGTGTGAAGATGCAGGCTTGCTGTGGTGACAGCCATCTTGGGGCCATGAGGGGACATGTGGCTGAGAGCTAGAAAGAGCCTGGGTCCTGGAAGACGCTTGTTGAGCCACCAAGCCAGCTCTGGGACCACCTGGGAGTCTCTGGGTTTGAAGCTACCGTTGGTCAGAATTTCTGCCACATGCGTCCCAATTGATACGCACGCAGCAAAGGGAACGACCTAACATGCTCTCTCTCAGAACGGCTCTTGCTTCCACCCGGGGACCGTCGGCAGGAGGGTCCTGAAGGACGGGCTGTGGGAGGGTCAGTAGCAAGTCCTAGGGGGACACCAGGGACCAGCCTTTGCCTTCTACCCAGGAACTGAAGACGACGGTAACATTTCCTGTGCAAACTTAAGACTTGCCAGGCAGGGTGCAGTGACCTTTACCCAGATACCTGGAGGATCCAGGGACACGCCTTTCCCTGGAAGAACGGCTCCGGCGTCATACCTGGCTGCTGGCCTCCTCCCCGCCCCCCTGCACCGGTCAGCCCTCCTGGCAGGCTCACAGTTACCTCGACCTGGGGCAGGAAGGTGTGAATGGAGGGCAGGTCCGGCAGGCTGGCGGTGATGTCCAGGAGGCTCTGGGCCAGGGCCGTCCACAGCTGCAGGTCCTGTAGAGGCCTCTGGAAACGCTGCCACAGCTCCGCCCCCGTGGCATTGCGCAGCCTGGCGCTCTGCCCCTTCATGCTGAGGAGCCACGGAGAGGCCGAGAGAGGAGAGAGCGGGGTCAGCCCAGAACTGAGGCCTCTCCCGAGACCCCCAGGGAGCCCAGCACGCACCGTCCCCACGGTGGGCTCTCCCCCACCCACGGGCTGCCGGGAGTGGCTCTGGGGCCTCGGAGGTCTCTCCCTCTGGATCAAAGCCCACCGGGCGCCAGCCAGTGCCCAGACAGACTTGCGGCCCGGCTTCGTGGCCGGAGAACCCCAGGCCTTGAAGAGGAATCACGGAGCCCCTAGCCCGGAACCGCCCACCCCCAGGCACCCGTGCAGAAGCTAAAGCAAACTCCCTTCCTGAGTAACAGACCCATCGTCCTAGGCCCAAATCATTTGTTAGAAATAATCTTTCAGATACGATGTCCAGCACCCGGTCATAGATGGCCAGCACGGAAAACCTCACCAAGAGGAGCTGGAGGGAAGGGAACACCCTTGGCCACCCTGTGCACGGGATATTTGGGTCCCTGCCACCACCTGAGTGCCCCCCAGGGGATCCGGGCCCCTGCTCTGACGCACAGACACATCGCAAGGGAGGAGGCCCCCGAGTTCGGTCTGAAGGAACCCCTGGGTCAGGCAGAGGGACAAGAGGTGCTCCGGAGGCGGGGACAGCGGGCCCCCCGGCAGTGGGACAACCACGCAGCCACGGTAGCTACAGACTGCAACTCTACACGTGGGGTGGAGACCTGACCCACTGTTCTGGGCTCGGCCAGGAAACTGGAGCCCCCTGCTCTGCCTGAGCCCAGAGGCCAAGGGGGAGGTAGAGGTCGGTCTGAAGATGCTGTCACAGCACCATGTGCAGGCTGGGTGGGGGGGTGGGGGGGTGGGGGTGACCGTTGCAAAGTCCTCCCTTTGGGCCGTTACATGTGGACCCCTCCCCAGGGCTAAGCTGCCCAGAGACTTAACGGAAACCAGTGAATGAGCCACTTAGCATGGAACCCCGCCAAGTCCGGCCCTCCTTCTGGGAACCAAATGCCAGTCGTGAAGGGGCGCGAGAGTTAGCAGGTCACAAGAGGAAGCAAGCGCACCTCCCAGAAATGGCTTTAGATGAGGCTGGAAGGCCCCGTGAGCGTCAGGTTCGAGGCATGCCCGAGTCCCGCCACCCCCAGCCTGCCCGGGTACCTCTGGTACTCCTGGAGAGCAGCGACCACGCTGTCGGAGAGCGGCTGCAGGTCATGGGGGTAGACGATGAGCTCCTTCAGCTGGGCCTGCAGCCGGGTCACCCGGGGCTCCTCCGCGGCCAGAGCCGCCCGCGTCGCCTGCAGCACAGGGAGGAAACCAGAGGGGCATGGGAGGTTCGGTGATGGGGCGTGGGCATGGCCGGTGGGAGTGGGCTAGCCTGGGAAAAAACTGTCACCAAGGGCAGGGACTGGGGTCCCTGGGAGCTCGGCACCCGCTCTCCTGCTTCCGGCTTCCTGCTTCGAACTCAGCATTTGCTCTCACTGAGCCGGCTCTTCTCTACGATCACTGACTTCCCAGTGGTGCCGTGAGTGCCTCCACCTAATAATACAAGTAACTCATGTCTCCGGAACATCAACTCCGCGCTGAGTGCTCCGGCCGTCCCATTCATCGAAGCAGGGCGAAGAGCCTAGTCCCCATTTTCTACACAAGGAAACGCCACCTGGGAGTTAGCAAGTAAACGGCGGACCCGACAGGGAGCCCTGGCTCTTCACGTGACTCTTCAGCACCAGAGGGAACAGTGATCTAAAGATGCTTTGTGCTGAGCACTCCCAAACCACGGGGATGACACCAGACACGGCCCCTTCCTGCTGCCCTGGGAAGTGCAGAGTTTGACCCTGGCCTGGACTCTTGCCAGGTGCCACGCTCACTAGGAGGCGAGAGGGGGCAGCAGAAAGTGCTCTGGCTTTGGCATGACACGGGCTGAGCCGGAAACCCCCCTCGACCCCTTCTGAGCCATGCGACCTCGGGCTGCTCCCTCATTGGTAAGATGGGGCCGACCCCCCCCCCCTCGCCGAGCCCCTCCCCAGCTGCCCCACGTGCAACCTCGTGCCTTGGTCCAGACCCCCCATTCACAGGGACCAGAGGCAGCTCCAGCCACGCTCGGTGATGGAGGGACCACAGGTGAACTGCCACCAGTTTGGAGCTGGAGAGCAAGCTCCGATAGAGGGACCGTAAGCAGCGGTCAGTGGCAGGCTGGCACACTCTAGAGGCAACAGAATGTGGAATCTGCCCAGACGGTCTTATTCAGTCTCAAAAATATCCTTGTCCACATTCAATTATTAGGGAAATGTGATGAAATCTGTACAGGGTTTCATAGAAGATGAGGACACGATCGGTGCGTGTGAACTGGCTCCTTCCAAACCATTCACAAAGAAACTCCACACCAGAGCGCCCGGGAAGGCTGGCCAGCCTACAGACAGGCAGCCCCTCGGCCCAGGCAGGGCAGGGGTCTGCGGTGAGGACGAGGATCACGGGCTGCCTCAAGAGAAAGGCCCGTGCGGACCACAGAGAGGTCACACGTCAATGTGGGGCTGTGCGGGTCACGGGAATATCCAGGGACCAGGGAGGGACCATCTGGGGACCGCAGTGGGAAGGCTGCTGGCCCACTGTGCCGGCCTGGCTAAGGACTGCCCCTCTCTGGACACAGCTGCCTCCTTATGGAATCAGAGGGGCCCGTTCTAGTCCAGCCGTGCCATTTCTGCACCGATGATGGAGCGTCTTTAGTTTCTGGATCGCTGGGATGCCCGAGGGGGGCGCTCTGTGAGGCCACTCTGATGGACTCTGCTTTAGCCACAGAACCGCTCTGACCTCAACCTCAGCTGCCGAAAGCCTCCCTGAAGGCACGAACGGTCCCGGCCTGGTCCGCGTAAGGATGTCACAAATCACCCCCGGCCCCCGGTTCTCCGTGTGGAAGGGTCTTGGGACTGTCGGCCGAGAGATCAGGAGGTGGTCACGGCCAGACTGAGCCCCGATGTCCTCATTCCCGGTCCTTGACTCTCTTTATGCTAATTTCCTAAAACCGGGAGTCTGAGCTGGCAGTTAGAGGCATGTCATGTTGAGTCAGACTGTCTGGGGCTAAGTTCAGACCCCTGCCTCCACCTGTAGGGTGCATCACCACAGGCAAGTCTTAAAGTCCTTAGTTGCCTCAGTTTCCCCATATATTAAAGGGGATCGTGGCAGTGCCCGCTCCCCCCTCCCCCCGCATAGGGTTATACAGCACTCGGCACATCGCAGGCTGGGTAAGTACAACCCCACTATGTCAGTTTTAAAGAACGGACGCATCTCTCACAGATGCTTTCTTTTTTTTTTAATTTTTTTTTTAACGTTTATTTATTTTTGGGACAGAGAGAGACAGAGGGGAGGGGCAGAGAGAGAGGGAGACACAGAACCGGAAACAGGCTCCAGGCTCTGAGCCATCAGCCCAGAGCCCGACGCGGGGCTCGAACCCACGGACCACGAGATCATGACCTGAGCTGAAGTCGGACGCCTAACCGACTGCGCCACCCAGGCGCCCCATCTCACAGATGCTTCCTTTACAAGTCGCGCTTTCAACCGCGGTCCTGACATCACCCGCTTCTTCGAACTTTGCCTGTTTCTCAGAAGAGGGAAGAGTCCAAATTTCCTTTTTGGTGCAAGAGAGAAAGGCTGTGCTACCTTTCCCCTGCTCTGCTGGGCCACGGGGGCTCCCAGCCAAAGCAGGTCGGGCTGCCCGGTGGCCACAGACCTGGCCTCATCCCAGGGCACCCAGCCACTCCGAGGGCTGGGCTGGAGCAGGCGAGGTGTCTGCTCCTTGCTATAAACCACATCATAGGGGCGCCTGGGTGGCGCAGTCGGTTGGGCGTCTGACTTCAGCCAGGTCACGATCTCGCGGTCCGGGAGTTCGAGCCCCGCGTCAGGCTCTGGGCTGATGGCTCAGAGCCTGGAGCCTGTTTCCGATTCTGTGTCTCCCTCTCTCTCTGCCCCTCCCCCGTTCATGCTCTGTCTCTCTCTGTCCCAAAAATAAATAAACGTTGAAAAAAAAAAATTAAACCACATCATAAGTGCAAACAGCCACTGTGCGAATGCTCATTTAAGAACCAAAGGCTTCAGTGATAAATCCCAAGCTTCTCTTTCACCGATTTCGGTGAGTCATGGCTTGATCATAATTGAGGGGCCACTGGCATCGGGGCCCGCAGGGATGGGGTCGGCTCTGCCTCAGGAAAGGCTTCCTGAAACCCAGCTGGGCACAGACAAGTAGCTGTCGCGGTGGAACAGTGGCAGGGCCTTCTGGGCCTTGGCTCCCGAGTTTGCACCTTGTGACCCTTATCCCTTATCTTGTGGTAAAAGCCGGTACTTTCCGAGCATCGACTTTGGCAGGTGCTGTGCTAAGCACTTTTTGAGTTTTCACCGGTTCGTCCCTGTCCGTGTATAACTGAGGTTAAAGTACTTCTCCCAAGGCCGCCCAGTTAGCAAGAAGAGAGAGCAGGATCTGGACCCAGGCAGTCTGACCCCAACGTCCCCCTGCCCTTGGCCGCTGCACACGCCAGCTCCTCCTGAGCCGAGGCGGACAGTCCGAAACAGGAAGTAGTTCTCTTTGCGCTAAGTTGATCACCGCAGTGGAACCTCGTCTACTACGAGGCTCAATGAGCCCTAAAGGGTAACTGCTTTCTTTCTACCCACACAAAAAATATGTTTGCATTTGGGCAAGCATCGGAAGGAAGAGAGAAAAACAGAACAACAATGCAGAGCGGAGATGGGATCCGGGTAGCTTTTCTTTGAAAACATTTTCCCTGATGGCACTGACGTGGGGCTAACCCGCTGAGCTAGTAAGTGAAGATAGGCGTGAGGGAGGATGTTGACCCTTGTTGGAAAAAAAACCTCTCTGTCCGTAAGTCAGACCTCCCGGGTGTGCACATGCGTGGGAGGAAGCCGACCGTGCTCTGGTCGGACGTTGTGTCTGGGTTGGAACCCGCCCCGCCCTCCCAGGACGGGCACCGTTGGCTTGGTCTCCCTAGAACCCCATTGTCTCTACGCAAAGAACCTTCCCTCTGACCTAACTCTCCCTGCTCTAGGCTCAAGCAGTCCACCCCGTATCCCACCACGGGGCAAGGGAATGGCAGACCGAAAGGCAAGCCACCTCTGGTCTTATTTACCCACAGACTCCTCGCGTGGTCCTGGGGATGTTGAGAGGGAAACCTCTCCAGACCTCGGTTTCCTCATCTGGAAGATGGGTACAAACACCCAACTTGTGTACTACACCCAGGGAACTTAGATCACCAAAGATCTAGAAGGCCCAGAGTAAACGTGGTTAAAGCTTAGCATGACTCTCTCCCCGTGAAGAGGAGCTCCGAGGTACACATGTCACATGGACAGTCCCTGTCTTAGCCAAACCCCACTTACCGAGTAGAGTCTCCAGCGGGCCACCAGCTCGTCCTCGGTCCCCGCCTTCGCCGCGGGCTGCAGACCCTCCTCGGCCAGCCTCTGAAGGTCCTTCCTGAACTCTCCCAGCTCGGCCTCTAGCTGCCGCCTCTGCTGCTCACAGGCTCCCATGGACTTGAGCAGGCCCTGCAGCCGCTCCTCCTCCTCCTCCCAGAGGGCTCGCAGCTTGTCCAGAACTTTCTGCATCTCCTCCAGCTCCTCGGTGATCTTCTCCGCGCCCAGAGGAGAGGTGTTCTGGATGACGCCCACAGCCTGCTCCTCCAGCCTCCTCAAAGACTCCTTACCCCGGGGAAAATCGCCAGCGATGTCCTGAAGGGGGTGGGGGGGGGGTGTGGACGGATGGGGAAACGTACAAGGGGAAAAAGACATCACGTGCTGCATTTTCCAGAGCCCCTGGAATGTCATTGCTAAACACGAACTCCTAGATGAGAGCCAGACGCGCCTTTCCAAGGGGTGGACTGTCCACCTTAATCGCACTGACTTGCCACAGGAGGATGTAATTCCCTTCCCGCGACTTCTACGGCCACTTGATTAAGTCGAGGAGAAAATCCGGGTTGGGTGTTTCTGCCTTTAACCCTCTGTGACGTTTGTTGATCTTCCCTTTTAACAAAGACAGAGGCAGCCTCAGGCTGGGAGCCTTCAGCTGGAGGAAGTACGGAGCCAAATAGAACCTAACGACCCGGTTGGGTTTCGTTATATTTATTTGTAGGGTTATCTACGAATGCCGAGTGAGCAGCGATTTTCCATTCATGACAATGACAGAACTTTTCCTTTCATACAAATATTCATTAGTCTTCCATTTAAAAAATTTATATAGGCACCTGCAAGTCTATTTTATTTGCAAGTGCCTTCCAAATATTTTCCTTTTTTGTCGCAGCGCAATTGCATGGAGTAAGATACATAGACCTTAAGCACTACTATTCAAAGAGTTTTGAGAAATATGCACACCCACGTAGTGCACATTGTCACCAAAATATAGAGCATTTCTAACATCCCAAAAGATTCTAGAACTCCATGTATCTGAAAGCATTGGATATATTATCTTTTGAAACTGGCTTCTTTCCACGTCATGTGTTTTGGATTCTTCCATGCTGTCATAGGTCTTAGCACCTCGTTCTTCTTTGTTGTGAGTAGTATTCCTTTATATATAGATACAGACATGGACATGTGATTTATAGCTAATCTATATCTATATCTATATCTATATCTATATCTATATCATCGATATCTCTCTCCCGTGCCACAATATGTGAATCCAACACTCTGCTGATTAAAATCTGAGGTGTTTTCAGTTTGGGACTATTACAAATAAAGTTCCGACGAACATTCTCACACTACTCACATAAGATTTTGGGGGGTGGGATGTCATTATTCACTGGTTTTTAAACAAGAGTCAACTTACATACAAATATTAAATAAATGGTACAGGTGCTGTAGATCTGTGGCAAAATTTATAAAGTAGTCCCCGAATTACTGCACATACTCTAACAGTCCCTTTATGGAGGAAGTCAGAAGCTCATTCAAGGTCACAGCCATTCAGGAAGGCCGGAGTGGACCAAGCCTGTCTCCACTGCAGGCCTGATGCCTACACCAGGGCTCCTTACCCGCGGCACGACCGACACCTGCGGTCGGACAGGTCTGTTGGGGGGGCTGCCCTGCCCGTCACAAGGTGCATAATAGCATCCGATCTGGCCTCTACTCACTACATGCCAATAGCATTTCCGCCCTCCGTGGTAACGACCAAAAAATGTCTCCAGACGTTGCCAAGCGTCCCCCATTTGAGACCCACTGGTCTAGACCACGCTGCTGTGACCTTGGGTTTCCAAGTGCCCCGCTGGCTCGGAGATTTCTGTAAAGCAGCCGAGGCCCACACCTACTGCGCTAGATTCCACACGTCTCCTCGTGTGCGCTCTGCATGCCGTGGATCTTGTATCCCCTGGGGCCCCCAGCACATCCCAGTAAATAAACAACACAGAAGCCCAGTAGCTGAGCATTTCCCCTCTGGTAGAGACGCGGTCAAGTTTACCTGCAGCGCGCAGAGACGGCCCTCGGTGGTCAGTTTGCAGTTCCGCCCCAGGCAGCTGCTCACCTTCTCCACCACCGCCTTCAGCCACAGCTGGAACTCGTCCACGCCTGCCTGGAAATGCTCGTGCTCCCGGGTCACCTGCTCCAGCAGGCCCACTCTGTCCTGTGGGAGGGGAAGACGGTCACCACCTATGCAGGTCCCCAGCCCAGGCTGCCCTTGGCCTTCAAGGCCTACGTGTGTGTGCGTGTGTGTGTGTGTGTATGTGTGCGTTTAGGGGGTGTGAGATACAGCCGACCGTCTGCCCTTTAGCCCAAGATAAAGACATCCCAGTGACTCTTCTCCACCTTATTAGCGGTAACCCAAGAGACTCTTGGTCAGAGCATGTCCACACTGGGCCCACCAACTCTACAGCTGGCTTTCTTTCCTGCCGTGTCCGGGGAATGGGACTCAAGACAGGGGTATTTAGGGGCATCTGGGTGGCTCAGTTGGTTAAGCGTCCAACTCTTGATATTGGTTCATGTCATGACCCCACGGTTTGTGAGATCGAGCCCCGCATCGGGCTCTGCACTGACAGCATAGGATTCTCTCTCTCTCTCTCTCTCTCTCTCTCTGCCCCACCCCTTGCTTGCATACTCTCCCTCTCTCTCTCTCTCTCTCAAAATAAATAAATAAACATTAAAAAAATGACAGGAACAGGGGCACCTGGGGGCTCGGTCGGTTAAGCATCCAACTTTGGCTCAGGTCATATATCATGGTTCGTGAGTTCGAGCCCTGCATCGGGCTCCGTGCTGACAGCTCAGAGCCTAGAGCCTGCTTCAGATTCTGTCTGTCTGTCTGTCTGTCTCTCTCTCTGCCCCTCCCCCGCTCACATTCTATCCCTCTCAACGATAAATAAACATGACAGGAACATTTAACAACTCCTGCTACACAATGCTATCATTGGAGCACTCACCAAGGTGCCGGGAGCACCCAAGGAACTTTCCGTACATTGTCATCTCACTGCGCTCTCCTGACCACCCAATCAGGTGGCACCATTATTATCCCCGTTTGACACATGGGGAAACGGAGGCACAGAGCGGCGCCTCAGAAAGCACTTGCCCAAGCTCACCTGGGTAGGGAAGGACCAAATTCAAACCCAGAGGCCAGACAGGGCCAACGGCATCCGTGCCCCACACCGGCGGTGTGTGCAGCGCATGCAAATACGCAGGAGGCCGTCCCCCCTTCCTCACGGGTGCGGCGTTGCTGGCGGCATGGGCTGGAGTCACCTCGGTTTTCAGACAACCCTACTCTAGTCCTCGCCACACAGGGGCAAGATGGCGTCCCGAGCGGGGCTGTCATCTGAGAAATAAATGCCCCTTCTATCAGACCTGTGTGCCCAGGAACCGTTTCTCAAACACACCCCTGATCGCAACACCATTTCTCTCAAGCCCTCCATGGCTCCCCGCTGCCCGCAGGCCCGGATCCAAGTGCTGCAGCATTCTGGTCAAGGGCAGGACCCCGCGATGTGGCTGTGGCCTTGCAGTCAACACCCTGGGTTTGGAGGGTTTGCCCGTGACTTGAACCCTGGCCTGCTACGTGCCCGAGTCTCTCTGTACGTGTGGTTAATAACAACCCCACCTCACTATGGCGCAGTGGAGTCAAACGAGTCAGAACTCACGTGGCCCCGGAACCGCACTGGGCAGCTCGAGTGGGCAAGGGAGCGGTTCTGCCCGGCCACGCTGACCTCCGGGCCCCACAGCCTCTCTGACTTGGCCCGCTGCCCCAGGCTGACTTAGCAGCCTTCCCTTTGTCCTGTGGTTCCCTTCTGGCATTGTCCATGCCTCCCCATCCGCTGGGAGGGTCAAGAGCTCCCTACACACCAGGCGGCCCCCTGCTGGCTTGGGCCCCCCCCCCCCCCCCCAGGCTCTGTGAATGAGTGCTTCCCAAATGGCAGGAAGATTCAACACTGAGTGTGGCCGCTGGAGGGAAGTTTTCAAGGAGGGTCAAGAAGAGGGAAAGGGAGGACCTCCATTTACCAAGCACCTGCCAACGTGCCGGGAGTGTGACAAGCTATCTCACACTTAATCGTCACCACGATGCCAAGCCCTCCCGCTACACGGATGTCCAAGCCGAGGCTGGGAGGTCCCGTAGTTCTTGAAGGGCCTTCTGGACAAGAGTTAAATGGCAGGTGCCCAACTCCGAAACCACTGCTCTAATCCAGGGGTTGGCTGGCGGTGGAGAGTCGACGTTTTCGACTTTAGCCAGCATGTGGCTTCTGTTGCAGCCGGTGATGCGTTCCTTCCGTGGTGCCACAGGCTGCCACAGACAACCACGTAGAACAGGCCTGTGTTCCAGTGAAACTGAAATATGGGCACTGAAATGTGAATTTCATAGCATTTTTCCATGTCCTGGAAGATTCTGCATTTTATTTCCTGCCATTTAAGCGGGCAGAAACCATTTCTGGCTCCCAGGCCAGGCAAAATCAGGAGATGGGCTCGATTTGGCCCACGGGCCATCAGTAGCTGGCCTCCGCTCTCAGCCGGGGAGCAGGCTGTGTCCAGGAGTTCGCTGGCCCTCTACTGCAAAACCTGGTCAAAAGTGCTCCAAAGGGAAGCGCGGACAGACACGCGGGTTCAGAAAACTTCCCCGCTCTTTGTACATGCCTCCCCTGCCCTTTGAGAAAGTCCTCACCAAACCTGAAAACACAGATTAATTCATTTAAATTTGCAACAGCCATGGCAGGGAGGAGACGACATCCCCGCTTTGGAGATGGGGAAACCGAGGCACGGGACCGAGTCCTTCAGCGCAGAGCTGGGAACCTCCCACTCAGGGGAGCGTGGCCCGGAGAGCAGCGACAGCAGTGCCCCGCGGGGTCCGAATTCCAAGCGCGGACCAAGAGACAGAGGCCACCGCCACCTCCTTCGCGACTCCCGCGCCGGCCCCCCCCCCTTCCCGCGGGGCTGTCTGCGTCCGTCCAAACCCTCCCAGAGCCTCCGCCGTCCCCGGGAAAGCCTCATTTATGAAACGAAGTGGGTCAGGAATAACAAGCAGAAAATAAGCGCCGGGCCCCTGGTCGACGCTGCCGGTGATAGATGTCGTCGCGCAGCAAAGGCTCCCCCGCAACGCGCTGGCCGGCGGCCCCGTGTGTGAGCGATGAGGTGCCAGCACTCGGGAAGCCCAGAGCAAATAAAAGCCTCCGTGATCGTGAGCAGGCCCTCGGAGAGCAGCGTGGCCCGGCAGGGCAGGCGTCCAGACGAGCCCCGTGCCAGGCGTAGCGATCACAGCGCACAATTCAGCCGCTGCCGGCCGGCCACGTCGCGGAATGACAGGGGTGACGGATGGCTGGGGGCGGGGAGGGGGGGTCCTCCACCTGCCCTCATCAGACCAAACAACGAAACCATCTGCGGCGGGCAGGGTTGTCGGGAACGTCCAAACCCCACCAATTAACAAGGGCGGCGAGGACTGATGTCTCCGCAAGGCTGCGCCGGCCGGTTTGATTCATGGCCCAGATGCCAGACGCTCCCGCCTCCTTTGAGAGGCGCCCAGGGGAGGCAGGGAGGGGGAGGAGGCGGCTGCTGTGTGCCCGGCCCTTCAGAAAACGTACCTGGTGGATTAAAAACACTCATAGTACACCAACAGGACCCCACTGGCGGCCAGCCTGCTCTATTCTTGACTCTCAGTGTCTGGGGCTGACACAGCCCTATTGTCCCCCCCACTCCCGGGCTTGGCCCGCTGATCTAGTCCTCGGATCTCCCTGCCGCGGGTGGTCACAGAGGCCATGGGTCCGGAGGTGGCCCCCACGGTGCTCCTGGGCTCCCGTGCCCCTCCACACCAGAGGCTTTGCTAGTTAACATATCGGAAGTCAAAAGTGGATTCTCAGAGGTGAGCACAATGGCCCGTTGACTAGCTTGAGAAATGTTGAAACGGGCTCTCTTGTTGGTGAAAGTCAAGGTATTAATACACACAAGGTCTGCAACGGACTGAGCTGTGTCCCCTAAATCCATAGGGTCAAGTCCTAACCCCTAATGTGATGGTATTTGGAGGTGGGGCCTTTGAGAGGTGACCGGGATCACGAGAGGTCATGAGGGTGGGGTCCCCATGATGGGGTCAGTGCCCTTATAGGAAGAGACAGAACAGAGCCTACTGTCCCCTGTCCCCATCTTTCTGCCATGAGAGCAAGAAGGCAGCCATCTAGGGGTGCCTGGGGGGCTCAGTCGGTTAGGGGTCCGACTTCAGCTCAGGTCACGATCTCACAGTTTGTGAGTTCGAGCCCCGCGTCGGGCTCTGTGCTGACAGCTCGGAGCCCGGAGCCTGCTTCGGATTCTGCATCTCCCCCTCTCTGCCCCTCCCTCATTTGTGCTCTCTCTCTCTCTTAAAAATAAACATCAAAAAAGAAGAAGAAGAAGAAGAAGAAGGCGGCAGCCATCTACAAAGCAAGAAAAGGCCCCTCACCAGGAATCGACTCTGCCAATACCTTGTAGACTTCCCAGCCTACAAAACTGTGAGAAATAAATTTCTGTTGTTTAAGCCCCCCAGTCTACGGTGTTTGGTTACGGCAGCCTGAGCGGACTAAGGCAACACCACAGAGAGCCACCCTGAGACAGGCCTGGATGCCTGGGGATTCTTACATGGCCCCAGTCCTGTCCCTGGGCTGGGGGATTTCAGCTGCCTGCTTCGGGATGGCCATCTTATCTGCCTTGAGAGAGCCTTTCGCGCAAGGTGAGGCCTTCATCAAATGTCCGAGGCAGGTGACTAGGAGGCATCTGGGCCACGGAGAATCTTCGGGGGCCCCAGCGGACATGCAGAGTTCCCTACCCTGCTTAGGATGGAGTTCGAGCATTCTCTTGTTGTCTAGGGCTGGCAGGAGGGGCTGTGACCCGGGGCTTGGGGTCTGGGGCTCTACCCCATTTTACTAATGAGGACCGTGGGGTTGGCAGTTAAATCTCGTTAAGGGCAACGCCAAAGTTCGATTTTCTCAGTAGCTCCTCAGTCTTCTGAAGGTCAAGGTCCCTTCTAGAATCTGAAGGAAGCTGTGGCTCTTCTCCCCAGCAAAATGCACTCACACAACAACTTCAGAGGGCCCACAGGGGCCTGCCCTGGCCTCCCCAGCTGGCACTTCTGGTCTGCTACAGCCCTCCATGGGGGAGACAAGCAGCAGCCTGTCCCCAAGCTGAGAGGGTCCCCCCCTGTGAGTAGGAACAGAATTCCCCAAACTCTGGTGGCCAGGAAGAGACAATCAAGTGTCTGTGAGCGTCAGCCAACAGCTGGAAAAAAACAAACTAAATTGACGTCTCTCCATGTAGGATCGGGTCACCCCATACACGCCAGTGCTCATTTCTGAATTGAACAGTAATTCCGAGGGTTTCCACCAGAGAAACAGCTTCTTGCCCCACGCCGTCCTTACACTCTGGATCCCCCGCTCTCCTGCCCTGCGAGCTGGTCGCTGCCTCCTAGAAACCTCTGGAAGCAATGTGCTCCCGCCTCCAGGGTCTCCACACTGCCCACTCACTGCTGCCTTCCACTGTCTCAGCCAGACCCACAGCAGCTCGGGCGGTCCAGGCTCCTCCCTGATGGGCACAGGGGACAGGACCTGAGGCACCACTGAGGGAAGACCCCCACCTTGCGAGTCGCCTAGAACTTCTGGGTCTCTCTCGCGGGACAATGGCATCTGCCACTTACATGGGTTTTTTTGTAGGTCCGCAAAACGGGCCCAGTTCGAAACCTTCGCTCTCCACCACACGAGAAGGCTGGGGGGGGGGACCCAATGAGGTCAAAGACATGAAGAGACTTGGAAAAGACAGCAGTCGTCAACAAGAATTGTGATGTCTATGATTTTTTGGACGCAGCGAGGGGAGGGTCCCCTAGCAGCGACTGTGAGAATCTCTGAGGTGATCGTTTGCACACGTGGGCCAGGACTGGTGCTCACCCGGTGCCCCTGGCACGCCCCCTCCACACACACGTGTACACATGTATACACACACACACACACACACACACACACACAGGCCAAACTACTTTCCATTTCCCGGCCTCCGCACATTTCGCGGAAGGCTCTCTGCTGATTGACAGGTGCACCTGTTTCCTGTGAAGTCACAATGAGGCCACGGGGGGCAGACACCTTCTCTGCCCGGCCCCAGGGGCCGACCTGGAGAAAGAATCGCTGTTAAGCCTGCCCTTGCCACTCGGGACTTGGTGAGGGCCAGCTGGCTGCGTATGTGAGAGCCAAAGTCCACACCCGCCTTGCCTGTCCATTCTGGCCCCTGCACAACTGCCCCAGAACCTTCCGCCGCTTCCCTGGGTGGGAGGGGGGATGGGGCTCGGGGACCTGTGAGCCTCCAAGCTGAAGGGCGGGGCTCTCATTCATTCAATAAACAGCTTTGAGCACCTGCTCAAAGCTCCATCGTTGTTGCTATTGGTTCTCACTGCTATTGGGGGCCGAGGTGTCCTTTATGTGGGGAAACCAGGTGCCAGTTTTCAAAGAACTCCCTTGTGAACTGCCAGCAGGTAGGGCGAGCTGCCCTGAGGCCACACAGCTGGAAAGCTGGCAGAGCCTGGCTTGAACCCAGGCCCCTTCCCAAGCATTCAAGGACCAGAGTCCTGTTCTTGCTAGTGCATTCTCAGATCTCTGTCCATTACAGGTCTGTTGCCCTTAAACTGTAATCACGAAGGAGCCAGCAACACGGCGGACTAGAAAGCCTGGGCACCCTTCCACGATAGACGGCCAAAACGGCTGCATAAAATTTGACAAGCGTTGTTTACATGCACACACCGAGGTAAGTGACGTCACATGGACGACACGCAAAGATGTTACAGGTTGCTAAACTCCCTTGTGTGCTTGAGGTTTTCCTGGGTTTAAGGCTCCGGTTGGAGGAGGAAGTAAGGCTTTGGGCCCAGAAGCAAAAAGGCAGAACCCTCAAGGGGCTGCGTCCCCCACCGTCAAAGGATGAACCAGAAAAATCTCCCCCTACGCACAATCCAGGAAAGAAGTTCGGGCTTCAGCGCGGGCTCTGGGGCAAAACCCAAAACAAAACAAAGGAAAGACTAATCGCCTTTCAGAGTGTGGAGCCAGGGGCCTCTCGCATAATTTTGGCTTGGGGTTCAAGTTCAGACGCAGGAATCCTCAAGTCAAGACCACACTGATGTAAGCATAGGAACCATGAAGGGGAATTCCCGGGGGAGCCTGGCTGAGGGAAACGCCAGCCACTCGGAGCGTCAGGCCCCAGCCACGGGGGTCTGCAGATAAAGTCCTGCTTAGCACGAGCTCACAGCCCAGAACCGCAAAGGCCCTAAGGCTCCACCACGACAGGAGACCCGATAAATTGCAGCGTCAGGCTCCGAAACTCCAGCTGCTCGAACAATCTGATGGAGACTGTAAAATACGTACACTCGGAATGATTACAGATATAACCCATACCCGGAAGGTGGGCAAATTTTACATGATGCGAAACAGAACGGTGAGTGTCGTAAAAAACAGATTAGCATTCCTTTGCAAGATACTAATAATTGAACTTGATAACTCAGAGGACCGGTTAAAAATCAAGGATGTAATGGGGTGTGGGGATGGGGACAAAGAACGGGCAGAAGGACAGGTGGAAGGGCAAAAGAGAGCCGCGGGGGAAGGGCAGGAAAAGGAGAGAAGCCGGGCAAAGGTGAGCATCACCGTCCGTCAGTCAGGCGGTCAGTGCACGCGTGTTAAGCACCGACACGTGTACTAAGCGCTGAGCGGCTGTGGGTGTGCGGACGACAGATAACAGGCTGACGGGTGGGTGAAGAAGGAGGGGTCGGTGGTGGAGCGGATGAAAGGTGTGTGGTAGTTCGGGGGTGGGTGACGGGTGGATAGCGAGCAGGTGGCGGGGAGACGGGATGGGCGGTGAACAGCAGACAGACACATGGGTGAACGGGTTGACGAGTAGGTGGATGAACGTGTAGATGGCCGGGTGGGTGGTTACGTGGCTGTGCAGATGAACGAGAGGTTGGTGAGGCTGGTGGGAGGGAGCCGGAGGCGCGAGGACGCAGATGGGAGCGTGGGCACAGAGAGACGGTTGGGCAGGTAAGTGGATGGGTGTGGCTGGATGGTGAATGGCAGATAGGGTAGTTCAGTGGGGGTAGATGGTGGGGGGGGCAGGACGGTGGGTAGACGGAGGTGGTGGCTGGGAGGGTGAGTGGGTGTTGGGTGGTTGCTCAGCAGGTGGTGAGTGGATGGAGGGGTAGATGTATGGGGAGCAAATGGGTGGCTGTACAGGTAGACAGCGGTGGCTAATGGCTGCACGGGGAGACAGAGGTGGCTAATGGATGCAC